CTGTCCATTCTGGCAGGTAGAAGTTGCCAGAATGTCCATCTGGGGTCTAAATTTACCTGCAGCAATTGGAAACGAAGCCCAAAGATATCAGTTCTCGTCACTGGTAAGAGGAACTCTTTGCATGATTGAAAGGTTCTTTACATCATGGAAGTGTCCTTCAATTAATGGAGAATGTGCTGTAAATGATTCTATATAAAACCTTTTTGAAAGGGGTTCTATATAGCACCCAAAAAGATTCTTCTACTGTTACAAGCTTGACATTGTAATAATAGAAGAACTCTTTTGGGTGCTATATAGAACCCCTTTCAGAAAGGTTCCATATAGAACCATTTACAGCACATTTTCCATTAATCTGAAGAATGCTTTCATGATGCAAAGAACTTTTTAACCATGTAAATGGTTCTTTGAGTGTTCATGCTTCTTTAGAAAACCATTTTCTTTGCCAATGAACCCTTGAAGAACCATCTTTTTTAAGAGTGTACTTCAGTGATGAAAAAACTGAATCATACTGTTTGTGTAGTACGTCAGGAATTCCGGGTTCAAAGGTGATGTCCAGATTAGATCACTTTGTGCTAGTTGTGCTAGAAAAGAATGTATTGCTTCATTTATCAGTTTAACCCCTTAAAATCTCAGTTTTTTACATACTAAGGCTTATTACTGAGTACCTACAGGGACTTCAGTGCAAAGTGATCAAGCTATTCTTAGGTTATAGAAGTGTGTAGTAAAACTTTGGCCATGTAAGGGGTTAAGCTGATAGCAGTCCTCTCATTTAGACTGCAGGCCATCAAATGCATCATTCACTTGAAGCAGTCACAGAGGACTCTCCCTCAGTGGCCGCTTTGTGCCAGGCATTTAGCGTCTGTTGCAAAACACTGCTGTAATGTTTGTCCTTTAACACTGATTTGGGATAATGCTGTCTCTCCATTCTCATTCTATTCAGAATTAGGATAACTCTGTCTTTGAAGCATGGCAAGAAATAGCTTGATCAGTGAGGCATGGTATTGAAACAGAGTGCCATTTGTGATTATCATGTAATTGCATTGCTGGGTTATGTTGGCTTATAGCTTAAAATATATCACCTTAGCTCTTTATATCTCTATTCACACCTTATTTATATTTTTCGACTTGAGTATGTTGTTGTTATAGTGAAATGTTAACTTTTCTTAATGTTTAATGGAAGTTAATGTGAAAAGATTCTATACTGAGTAATTCTGGCCAATTTATATTGGTCAGTTCATCATAAAATCTGCACATGAAAGTAACTAGCCATTTCAAATTAAATAAAAAATTAAATTCACAAAAAGGGAGATCATTTTATATTTAAATAAATAGAAAATGCACAGTAAAATTTGCAGAAAAATGCAGTATTTTAGTTTGTTTGTTTTAGAGGATGTGTACTTGTCTTTCTCTTTTCTCTTTCTCAACAAAGCATTTAATTTTACTATTATTACTAAAGTAAAGCATAGAGTACTATTGTAGAAAACAGAAATGGGTAGAGTAGCCTAGCATAAACTAAAATAAATATTGTTAATGTGGTGAAATTAATGATTAAAGTAAAAGAAAAAGTATCTTTTAATAAAACAGCTTAGTAGAAAGTGAAAAGGTAGCTTGTCAAAACACCACTGATGTACTGAGTACAAAACTGCAGTAGTTAGACTTTTATTTGAATGGACTCTTGGACTAAAATAATATGCTTAGCCTCAAAAGTCAGAGGTGTGTCCTATCACAAAGCAGTACAGTCCATGTGGTCAATGCAAAATAATAAAAATGAATACAAAATAAAGGAATTAGTAACTAAATGTTAATACGTACATATCATAGGAAAACGAATGTTGCTCACTTTTTATGATGTAGTATGTGAACATGATTAACATTTCAAAACACACCATTCAGCCAGTCCATATGGCCCATACAGTTAAGTCCATAAATATTCAGACACTGATAAAGTTAATGCTATCTTCCACAGCCCAGGATTTTGAATTAAATAATGAATGTGGGCTCAAAGTGCAGACTATATTAAAATATTCATTGAAAATATTATTCAAATCTGGTAAACAATGTAGGAACCATTTTCATAAATAGACACTACATTTTTAGAAACTAGTAGTTTTAGAAAGTGATTGGACATACTAACAATCATAAATTTAACTGTCCCTTTTAACACTTTGTTGCAAATTCCTTTGCAGTCAGTGACTGCCTGAAGACTGGAACCCATAGACATCACAATATGTTGGGTTTCTTCCCTGGTGATGCTCTGCCAGACCTTTACTGAAGCTCTGCCCAATGAGTTTTGAAGTATTTGCCTGAATCTGAGCAGATAATATAGCCCTATATACTTCAGAATTCATCCTGATGCTTTTGTCAGCAGTTACAATGTCAATAAATACAAGAGAATGACATAAAACTACCTCCACCATGCTTAACAGATGAGGTGGTATGCTTTGGATCATAAACAGTTCCTTCCCTACTCCATGCGCTTCTGTTCCCATTCTTTCTGGTATAAGTTGCTCTTTGTCTCATCTATCTATAATATGTTGTTGCAACTGTATAGGCTTTTTAGATGTTTTTGGCAAACTCTGATCTGGTCTTCCTGTCTTTGAGACTTACCAATGGTTTATATCTTGTGGTAAACCTTTTGTATTTATTCTGGTGAAGTCTTCTCTTGGTGGTTAACTTTGTCTCAGATATATTTACCTCAGGTAGGGTGATCGTGATCTGGCCAACTATTGTGAAGAGGTTTTTTTTCATCAGCAAAAGAATTCTTTTGTCATCCACGACAGCTGTTTTCCATATTTTTCCAGGCCTTTTGGTGTTATTGAGCTCACCAGAGTGCTATTTCTTTTTGAGAAAGTACCAAGTAGTTTGGCCACACCTAATGTTTTTTTCTATCTCTGTGATGGGTTTGTTTATTTTTTCAGCCTGATAATTGCAGCAATATCTCTTTGGACTTTATATAGAGTTAACAGCAACAGGTTCCAAATGCCAGACTTGAAATCAACTCTAGACTTATTTTCTGCTTCTTTGTAAGTGAAATGATGAGGGAATAACACATACAGAGTTGAAACATGAAACGAGGGGAGGGCTATATATGAAAATGGTTATAATTACAACCACTTTTCCAAAAAAGTTGAGATGCTGTACAAAATGTAAATAAAAAACAAAATGCAATGATATGCAAATCATTTAAACTCTATATTTAACTAAAAATAGGCAACATATCAAAAGTTGAAACTAAGAAATTTGATTGTTTTTTAAAAAAAATATATATCTATTTCAAATTAGGACCAGGCAACAAAACTGGTAAAGTTGTGTAATGCTTAAAAAAACACCTGGTGGAACATCTTACAACTTATTAGTTTAATTAGCTACAGGTGAGTAACATGATTAGATATAAAAAGAGCCTCCCAGAGAGGCTGAGTCTTTCAGAAGTAAAGATGAGGAGGGGTTCACCACTCTGTGAAGACTGCACAGGCAACTAGCGCAACAATTCAAGAATTACGTTTCTCAAAGTAAAATAGCAAAGAATTTGGGGATTTAATCATCTACAGTACATACGATTATTAATAGATTCAGAGAATTCAGAGAAAACCAATACTGGCTGGTGCCATGATCTTCAGGCCCTCGGATGGACCTGCATTAAAAACAGACACGATTCTGTACTGGAAATCACTGCTGTAAATACAGTTCGTCACTGCATCCAAAAATGCAAGTTAAAACTCCATGCAAAGAAGAAACCATATATAAACAGGATACAGAAACACTGCTGCTTTCTCTGGGCCTAAGCTCATTTAAGATGGACTGAGGCAAAGTGGAAAAGTGTTCTGTGATCCAACAAATTAAAATTTGAATTTCTTTTTGGAAATCATGGATTCTGCATCCTCCAGGCTAAAGAGGAGAGGGAACATCTGGCTTGTTATCAGGCTTGTGAAGGCACCATTAATGCTGAAATATATATATAGGTTTTTGGAGAAACATATGCTGCCATCCAGGCAGCGTCTTTTTCAGGGAAGGCCTTGTTTATTTAAGCAAGACAATGTCAAACCACATTCAGCACTATTACAACAGCATGTCTCCATAGTACAATAGTCTGGGAGCTAAACTGGCCTGCCTGCAGTCCAGATCTTTCACATATTGAAAACCTTTGGCGCATTATGAAACAAAAAGTATGACAAAGGAGAAACTGTTGAGCAGCTGCAATCCTATTTTGAGCAGGAATGAGAAAATATTTCATTCAAAACTCCAGCAGTTGGTCTCCTCAGTTTCCAAATGTCCCTGTCCCAACTTTTTTGAAACATGTTGCTGGCATCAAATTCCAAATGGGCATATGTCTTTCATAAAGCAATAAAATTTCTCAGTAGTAACATTTGATATATTGTCTTTATAAATGATGATTTGAAATTTAAATTAAATGATTTGCACACCATTGCATTCTGTTTTTATTTACATTTCACACAGTGTCCCAACTTCTTTGGAAATGGCATTGTACAATGTTCACCTTCCAATTAAATTTGAAGGTCTGCACATTGAGCTCATATTATTATTATTTTTTTTTCAATTTCAACTCCAATATGCTGTGGTAGACAGCTAAAATGAGAATATGAGAATCAAGAATCGATTTCTAAAATATTTATGGACCAAACTGTATATGGAACTAAGCTTCAGCTACAAAGCCAACTTGCCCTATTTAATCTGTGAGTCATAACATTAGTACTACACTGAGTAGGTGGTCTAACGTCACTGTTGGAATAAAACTGAACAATCAAGACAGTTTACATACTATATACAGAAAACAAACACTGAAAAAAATAACAAAAACCTCAGAGAAATGTCATAAGTAGCTTGTGGGGAAAAATAACAAAAAATGTTACTGAGAAAAAAAAACATTTTTTTTTCTCAGAAATCCACTTGATACTAGTAAAAGCATTTGAAATAGTTGGGAATTTTTTTTAATTTACTTGAGTACACATAATTGGGCAGTGCATGATGTTACTAGTTATTACCGTGGTACTGCATCACACTGAATTTAGAGAAGAGTAAAGAGGAAGGGGAACACTCTTTGACTTTCAGGCTCAGAAGGATGTGGCTGTTTGCCCTGTTCTGTTCCTCTCCACACGGTCCAGCCATTCCACGGCACCCTCGGCCAGCACACCCCTGGAGCTCTGCCCATGCTTCTCCATCTGAGCGTCTGGAAGCGCGTTTGCTCTAAGGTTAATGAAGAAGGTGATATATTGAGGTGAATCTAGTCATTATTGTGATGATTATGATAATGCATTATGCACAGTGTAACTACTTTCTGCTCTAAATAAAGCTCACTGGAGAGCTCTTGTTTGGGTTCATTATGCACTGGCAAGCTTTCTCCCCACTCTGCAGTCATGCTCGCTTCAGCACGTCCTACTCACTTTCTACCTGTGCGCTTCTTTCTTATCTGTACGCTGCAGGATGCTTCTCTTCTCAAGCATGTAGTGGCTTTGAGCTGGAGAACTGCTACAGCATGTGCCCCTACTGTATATTCTGGCTCATGTTAATGCACATGTGATTTTTAGTTTCAGTGCCTCTGCGGTTACCAGCAAAAAAGGTTGATTACCCTTTTAGACAATGCAATTCAATAGTCTAACATAATCGTTGTTCGAATGAAACCTTGTGAGATTTTGATTTTTGCACCATTTGCTTCTCTTAACATGACAAATAGAGCAAAATATGAGTCCAAAATGACTTGGATTAAAAGAATGCATGATTTTCCATTTACCTCAAATGTAGTCAATCATCCAAGACAAATTTTGCTTCTTAAGAATTAGTGCTAGAGCTACAAGGCTAACGTTACTAATAAACACTAGGAGTCAAGTCTTTTCCATAAATACATTCCCAAGACTTATTGTGAACTATAAAAATTACAAAAAAAGCTCAAAGCTTGCAGAACACAGCTTTTTGCTTTTAGCAGCTGTTGGTGTCTAACACCAGATCAATAAGTAGATGATGTTTGCACTGGGCAAAAAGTTGTTTACAAAAGCCTGTGAACAAATCCATCTCTGTCTATCAGCATTGACCCATGACACATGATGGTTTTGGTGAAGGACAATGTAGGACAATGACTCCTAAAAGTGCACCTGTTTCTTTTCATCCACTCCAATAAAAGAGATACTCTGCTGCAGAAGATTATACCTTTAGAAGCGTATTTATCACTTGTGGTCAGAAAAGCACAGTGTAATTTAATATGAATCATTTCTTGGTTGTATTTCATTGAAAAAAAAAGGTTCTATCTCTTCCTAATTTGACACCACATTTGCGCTTGTAAATAACAGAAGTCTTTTTTTAAGTTTCATAAAAAGTTTTTGCTTTGCAAAAAGAAAAAAATATACCTTTTACTTTACTGACAGAAGATTGGACAGAACAAAAAAGTGGTTTCTGACTTTTGCACAGACCGTTATGCACTTGTATGTAAATGTTTCAACACCCCTAATCAAACTACACGTTTTGTTGATTTTCTAAGCGAAAATAAATTAACACATCAACACCATGGGGGTGCCAAAACTTTCACGCAATACTGTAAATTGAATGTAAGTCCACTGTGGAAATTGCTATACAATAACATGTATAATTATATACTTACGTTAGTGTAGCAAATATTACACCACTAGTATAGCAAAACAGTACAATAACAAACTAAAGTGGTAATTCTGGACTTCTAACGGTTAAGACTAAGTAGCAAAGACCAGTTTTCTTTGTTGATGGTCTGGCTTGGTGAACATTGTCTCCTGCTGTCTAAAGAATCAAGAGCAAGTGATTGGATAAAGCAAACAAGCAGCCCTGTACAAGCAGCCCTGTCCTCCTACCAGCTGAAGAAAATGAAGAAAATGGACCTGAGAGAGCTGCCAGATCATGAAAGGTGCTTAGCCCTTGATTGGCTGTCTCTGGGGACACTCTAGGGAGCTATTTCAGCCTGGTCACGGCCAGGTCAGCATTTCTGACGACAAAGGTGGAGCTGATGAAAAGAGAGAACGGGGGAAGAGGAAAGATGTGTGCACAGAGGTAACTGTTGTCTCTGATGTTTAAATAAACCTTCCATTGAAGTTTTTGCTGCCAAGATCAGAGAGAACCTTTCTCTTTTGTTCCTCCCTCCAGCTCTAGTGTTTTTCTGACTTTGTTTTGTTTTTTGTTGTGTGTGTGTAGGAAGAAAGCGAATGTCGACACTGTCCAAACCACATGCATTGTGAATTGCATTTTGAAAGTGCTGAAAGAGAATGCTTCTCTGTCTTCTCCTGATGGAATGGCCCTTTGGGTGCATCAAGCTTCAAATCAGAAAACCTGGAGGCTCTAATGTCTGATCCCTGTTCCCTTCCCTCAGTGACTCATTCCTTCAATTAGCTCCAGCTGCACAGCTGTTCAGATTTACAACACACACACACGCATACGTACGCCCCCTTTCATACGCATACACGTGCGCTGAGGTGGACCACCATGCTTTTTCATGAACTGGATGCGCTTTTCGTGTTGTGTCTGGGGGCTGCAATTAAGCTGCTTTCCAAACTTTCAAAACACTTATTATCCAGCTAATGAGTGAAGAACGCAGTTTTCAAATAAATAATCTTTTCTTTGAATATTCAGAGGAGCTGATGGTTTTTACGTCAGTGACATATTGCATATAGTTTGATGGACATCAGAGATATTCAAAGCCTTTTAGTGAGTTCCTTTAAATACTGCATTTACTGCCCATTAGACTGAAGAGCTTTTCTGTAATGAAAGGCTAATTATTTGAAGCTGTATTGGAGCTTAGCGCTGCTGCGGGCTGCAGGAGAACAGCATGGCATAGCAAAACTGACAGGCAGTGCCACTCATGTAAAACAAAAGTCTTCATTTACCACTAAGGTTGGTGGTCCTAATCTGTCTGGTTTGTGTGTTTTTCTATGGTTAAAGTTATACTCTTTAGTCTGGAGCAGGGGTGCTCAATCCTGATCTACCACCCTGGAGAGTTCAGATTTAACACACCTGGCTCTCATATTCAGGTGCTCCTTAAGGCCTTCAATAATTTGATCAGGTGTATTTGATTAGAGGTGAAACTAATCTGTGCAGGGTGATAGATCTTCAGGATCATGAATGGACACCCCTGTTCTAGAGTCTGTATCAAGCTTTGAGTCAGTTAAAGGCAAGTTTGAGTCAAGTCACAAGACGCTCAACATGCGTTTGGAGTGTTTGAAGTCCAAGTTGCTGACTCAAGTCCCCATCGCCGATGGACATAGAGCGGATTAACTTTTAAGCTCTTAAAATCCCAGGCTTATTATTTTATTATTATTATTATTCAGTATGTACATGGACTACAATGTAAACTGGCATTATACTTAAGTTACAGAACTGCGATATAATCTCCACTGTATGGCAATAGCTCATAGCTTGTTGTGGCTGGCTGTGCCAGTTTAACTTTAGCACATAGCACGACCTTTTTAGATAATATTTGTTGCTTACTTTGTAAACCAAATATGAAATCTAGCTTATGTAAAATGTGCACGTTTATTTGAGGTTAGGATGAAAAAAGCAAGGAAAGTCAAAATGTCATTTTCTTTCCAGTGCAACGCTTGGACTCTAGGGTGCCCCCTAATGGCTGGGCCCCACAGTGCTTTTCCACCATCTCACCCCACCTGTTATGGGCAGCCTTGATCAAAAGCAGTGGACAGAGGTGCTTGAAAAGCTTGGGATTCTATACCATGAAGAGGCAGGAACATGGGTGAGAATGACAAGCTCATTTGTCATGCTGCTATGCATTTAACGCCACAGTTACAAGTATATTTATCAGCACCTGTTAACACTGGATTTAGCAGGTCATGGACCATGGCCATAAGCAGTGCAGAAATGGACACTCACAGAAAGAGCTCCAGCTATAGAGGCTGTCCCCCGGAGAAGGGAGAGATGGCGTTTTTGATGCAGGATTAACAGAGATTTGGCAGGCCGTGCAGTCTAGGCTGGCTGTCTGGTCAGCCAAAACTCAACACACAACTCAAAGACTGAGTCAATTCCAGCAGTCTGTCATGAGTTTGCAAATGTACTGCTCACTTCTTACAGCTAAATGTAGAAGTGCAGGACAAAATTGTTTTCTCAAACATGAGGTCAGTAATATGACATTGAAATCGGTGTACTTAACATCAATTACTAAAATAAATGACCACCATAATATGCTGCGAGCACTGTGCTAGTTTCAGCTATTGCATATTCATCTCGGCATTAGGGCCAATGAAATGACATGCATGTTTATCAAGCTGTTCTTGCCCAAGAGACATAGTTTTTCAAGACGTTCTCAGGCTATTTGCGTCCTAATGATTCTTCTGGCTGATTTCCCTGATTTTCTTTGTTTCCAGCCAGTTGAATGTCTAATTGGGCTGAGTTTAGACTCTCCTGAGTTCATTCTGATGAAAACAATCACTATAGCACTTGATTACACCACAACAGAGAAACTGCTGTTGAACTTGCACAATAATATTTTGGCTCTTGGTTAATGTAGTTTCTTTAAAAACATGTTTTTCAAAAACTGGGGAGTTTACACTTTACCAGTTCTTAATTTTACATCTACTTTAAGAAAGTTTGTCTGTCATTGGCTTTTTACTGTCTCTGACTGTTTCACTCACAACTGCACTAATTAAAGCTGACAATTTTGAGACAGAGACGTTATGGTGGAAAAAGCGTATGGACAGGCATGCTTCAGTGGGAATACGGGGAAGTGCCGTCAAGGCTGAATTCTGGCCAAGCACTCTCATAATACTAAGGGCAAAAAGAGCTGCTTTTCTCTTAATGGAGTTGTGAGTCATTACTCCTTAAAACAGAGTATAAATCAGGAATCCTGCCTTTTTCTCTTCTTTAAATCTGAAAATGGAATGAATCTGGAATAAAGATTAGTGTTGTAATTTATTATTTTATTGCTGTATTAATGGCCCCTTATCATTCTTATTTTACAAGGGTTAAGGGAAAAGGGTCAGTTTTTCCACTTAAGAGATAAAGTTAAAAAATAGGACTTTTATAGGGACATATATTTGATAGTAACATTGTATGATATTTTACATCATGTCCACATTACAGCCTTTAAATGAGCCTTAATGTTATTATGGCTCAACTTGGCTATGTGACCATTGACTATTTCTACTTTTTTGCCACCCAGAGCTGAAAAACAATGCCTGTTTACTTTTGAGAAAGATATTGCCAATTACTTTTAAATCTGGAAC